GAGGGGAGTGGAAAAGGTTTATAGTGAAATAAACTGTAAAGGGAAGACTTCAAAAACACTGATTCGAAGTTGGAATGGGGAAGCTGGAGGTAGACTAAGTAGAAGCAGGATATCTTATGGTTTGGGGAACACATTTGGCTCACATTTGGACCACCCAGAGAGAGCTATATAAACAGCTTTCTTAGTATAACTGACATATTTCTTAGTATAACTTCACATATTTAAAGCACACATATCACCTGTGTTATATACATACATATCCATGAAATCATTACCTATATATTCATTACTCTCTAAAGTTTCCTTCCTCCTTTATCTCTCTCTCCTGCTTCCTTCCTTGTTTCCTTTCTATTCCCAAGTGACAGCTGGTCTGTTTTCTGTCACTATATTAGTTTTCATTTTCTAGAGTTTTATATGAATGGATCCACACAGTATGTACTTTTCTTTAGTTTGGCTTCTTTCGCTCAGCATAATTATTTTGTTAGAAGAGTTTTGTTAAAAATTTTCTAAGAATTTTTACATCTATATTCATAAGAGATATTGGTGTGTAGTTTTTTCTTTTTTTGCTTGTTTTTTTTTTTTTTTTGCTTTGTTTGTTTGTTTCTTTTTTTTTTTTTTTTTATTTTTTGTAATGGTCTGGTTTAGGTATCAGGGTAATGGTGGCCTCAGAGTGTGAGTTGGGAAGTATTCCCTCCTTTTCCATTTTTTTTGAGACAGTTTGTTTAGAATTGGTGATATTTCCCCCCCCAAATGTTTGTCGAATTCATCAGTAAAGCCATCTGGGCCTGTAGTTTTCTACGTGGGAAGGTTTTTTTGTAACTGAAATTTAAATTTCTTTAATAGATACAGAGTTATTCATTCAGGTTATGCATTTTTTTTTTTTTGAGAAAGCTTTGGTAATTTATGTCTTTCAGGAAAGTGGTTCATTTTATCTATATTATCAAATGTATTACCATACAGTTGTTCAAAATACATTCTTTTCATCTATAGAATATTTCACCTTTCTCATTTCTGATATTGGTAGTTTATAGATAATTTTCCTGATTAATTTGTTTAGAGGTTTAGCTATTAATCTTCTCAAAGATTCAACTGTCAGTGTCATTAGTCTTATTATTTTTGGCCTTTCTATTTTATTGATTCAGTTTTAATATTTATTATTCTCTTTCTTCTTACTTTGGATTTAATTTGTTTTATTTATCTAAATTCTGAAGGCAAAAGCTGAGGTCACTGATTTGAGATCGTTTCTAATATAGGCGTTTAGTGCTATATGTTTCTTTTGAAGTACTATTTGAGTTATATTTCACAAATTTTGATATGCTGTATTTCACTTTCATTTAATTCAAAATACATTGTTTTGATTTCTTGTTGACTAATGGCTTTTTAATAAGTGTATTATTTTTCCCCAAATTTTGAGGGATTTGACAAGAATCATTATATTACTGATTTCTAATTTAATTACATTATAGTCAGAGAATATTCCTGGTATGACTTGAATATTTTTGAATTTATTGAAATTTGTTTTATGGTCCAGATTATTGTCCATCATGCTAAAATTTCTGTATATACATGAACGGAATGTGTATTCTTCTGGTTGTTAGAGTAGTGTTCTATAAATATCAATCAGGTCAAAATGATTGATAGTGTTGTAAAGCCTATTATAACTTTGCTGGTTTTCTGCCTACTTGTATTATAAATTACTCAGTGAAGGGCATTGAAATTTATTTAAAAAGTTTTTTTTTTAATGTTTATTTTTGAGAGAGAGAGAGAGAGAGAGAGAGAGCGTGAGCATGGGTGGGGGATGGGCAGAGAGAGAGGGAGAAAGAGAATCCGAAGGAGACTCCATATTGTCAGCATGCAAAGCCCCATATGGGGCTTGAACTCAAGAACTGTGAGACCATGATCTGAGCTGAAGTCAAATGCCAAACCCACTGAACCACCCAGGCACTACAGGGCATTGAAATTTTTTACTATAATTATGAATATTTTATTTTACAATGCAGTTCCATCAGTTTTGCTGCATTTATTTTGAAGCTCTCTTATTAAGTGAATAAATGTTTAGGATATATATATATATTATATATATATATAGGATTTTTATATATAGGATATATATATTGGATTTTTACATATTTTTGATTGAATATCCTTTTTGCCATTGTGAAATCATCTTAAAATTTTTTTTTTAATGTTTATTTTTGGGAGAGAGAGAGAGAGAGTGAGTTGGGGAGGGGCAGAGAGAGGGGGAGACACAGAATCTGAAACAGGCTCCAGGCTCTGAGCTGTCTGCCCAGAGCCCAATGCAGGGCTCAAACTCACAGGCTGCGAGATCATGACCTGAGCAGAAGTCAGCCGCCTAACTGACTGAGTCACCCAGGCACCCCTGAAATCATCTTTTTTTTTATCCCTGGTAATATTCTTTGCTCTGCAAACTAGTTCATCTAATACTGATAAAGCCACTCCAACTTTCAATTAACTAATGTTAGCATGATATATCTTTTTCCATCTTTGTGCTTTAAACTTCCATTTTTATATTTAGTGTATGTTTCTTCTAATAGGCATCAATTAAAAAAAATACAATCTGACAATCTCTGCCTTTTAATAGTGGTATTTAGACCATTTGCAATATTTATTTATTTTTAAAGTTTATTTATTTGTTTTGAGAGAGACAGAGACAGCATGAGTTGGGGGAGGAACAGAGAGAGGGACAGAGGGAGAGAATCCCAAGCAGGCTCCACAATGTTGGCACAGTGGGGCTTGAACTCATGGAAACTGTGTGCTCATGACCCGAACTGAAATCAAGAGTCGGATATTTAATTGACTGAGCCACCCAGGCAACCCTAGACCATTTACATTTAATATAATAATTGATATGAATCTATCATCTCAATATTTATTTCCTATTTCACTAGCCTGTTGTTTCCTCTTTTTGTGCTTTTTCTGTTTCTAGATTAATCAAATAAATTTTAGTATCTCTTTTGTAATGTCTTTTTTAATAAATATCTCTTTTATTATTTTAGTGATGGCTTTAGGTTTATGATGCACATCTTTAACTTATTACATCTACCTGCAAGTAATATTATATATGTCAGGAATAATTTAAGAACCTTATAATAATAGACTTCCACTGGTCTACTCTGGCCTTTATGCAATTGTTCCTGTGCATTTTACTTTTACATATACCATAAACCTCATAATACATTTTTATTATATTTAAGTAGTTAATTACTTTTAAAGAGATTAATATAATAAGAAAAATAATTGTATATATTTATCCCTAAAGTTATTTCTAGTGCTCTTCATTATGTAGACTCAGATTTCTATCTGGTATTATTTTCCTTCTGCTTTAAGTATTTACTTTAACATTTCTCATAGTGAGGATCTCCTGGTGATAAATTGTATCAGTTATGTGTGGAAGCAGTTATGTGTGGAAGCATTCTCATTGAAAAAAATATTTTTGACAGAAAAGAATTCTAGGTTAACAGCTTTTTTCTTTCAATACACTTAAATGTTCTACGCTGTCTTTTTGCTTACAAAGTTCTAATGAGAAATAAAATGTTATCCTTATTTTTGTTTCTCTGTAATGTTTCTTTCTGGCTGCTTAAAACATTTTTTAAAAAATTATTGTTACTGGTTCTGAGCAATTTAATTATTATGTATACTGATGTAATGTTCTTCATCTTTCTTTTGTTTAGGTTTTGTTGAGCTTCTGGAAGGCAGATTTGTGGGTAAAGATGTGATAGAAGGACTGAATTAGCAACGGGAGCTTATGGAAATTCTCTTCAGATTGCTTCAGTGTTATCAATGAAGTAGGAAGCAAGGTCACTGGCTAAGACTGAGGACAGAGGAAGATACGTTGGCCATGACAGAAGGTATAAAGTGGTCCTGTAGGAAGGTGGGAGAAATCACTGGGGCATCTTTAATATGGTCTTCAGGCATCTTTAAGGGCATACTTAAAATTAGTAATCATGAATTTAAAGTTAGCATATTGGGTGTTTTTCTCCTTCCAGTTTCAGCTGCAAAGATGCAGGCACTTAGTGAGGAGTTTTGCAATGGCCAGAACTGTGGTTTTCCCCAGAATTACAGTAATTCAGAGAGGGGCAGGGAGTTGAGAATGTATGTAGGGAGTGATTATATTGATTGACCCGTCAATATATGTACATAAAATTTCCCCAATCAGAGTGGAAACTCTTTCAAGGTAGTTCTTCGCATCTAGAAGGTGCTGAAGATGTATTTGCTGATCCCTGTACGGATGTGTCTTAACAGTAGAAAACCAGGGACTAAACGAAGTTGTCTTACTGGAGCAAATTAACTCCATTTTCAAATTAAATGCTTTGTAAAGTCCTTACCATAGCCTACACAGCTCTTCCTGTCCTGGGGCTAACCTATTAAGTCAGCTTCTCTAACAAGCTCCCACTGCTCTCTGATCTCCAGATATACTGAACTTCCAGTTTTTGTTTTGTTTTGTTTTGTTTTGTTGCATTTGCCACACAGCTTTGCGTATGTGGCTCCCTCTGCAGGCATGTTTTATTCTTTCCTGGTAGCTGACTCATGCTTTTCAGCTTTCCTGAGTAATTCCAACAAATATTCCTATAAATTTCGTATCTAGTTAGTATCTTCTAGCACTTGTCACAGTCCTAATTTTACATTTGTGTCTGTTGACAGCTGTTTACTACTATGCAGTAAGCTTTTTGAAGACAGGGATCTTGCCTATTTTTAGATCCCGCAGGACCTAGCATTAGTCTATGGCACATTGATAGGCGGTAATATTTCTGGAAAAAAAAAAAAAGGTGAAAGCAAGTCAATACTATATGTGAAGCTTCGTGTGGAGAGCGACATCTTTCTCTTAGAGAATTCACGAGGAACTGGCTAACGTTACATGCCTACCCTCGAAAGCTTTGCCCAGAACCTTGCACAGAGCACACGGGCGAGGAACTGCCTCCACCCACCACACTCCCTGCCAGCCTTTGGGACGCGCCTGCGCTCTGGCCCCACCGGAAGTACGGCGCTCGGGTAGCCTAGGCAACATTCCGGAAGTGGCGGGCTAGGTTAACCTGTGGCGGGCCCGGCCGTTCTGGAGCCTGAAGTTTTAGTGGCGGTGGAGGCAGCCGTCGGGAAACGGCAAGGCAGGTTGCGATGACGTGGCGGAGGCCTTCAGCCTGCAGCCCGACCGAGTCTTAGGGACCGGGCTACAGGGCGGGGAGAACGGTGGTGGCGTCTCCCTTCTGTTCCCTAGAGCTCCGGGCGTCTGGGTGGAGGATCTTTACTACGGAAAGCGCACGGCGACTCTGTGTTTTGCTAGTGTGTGTGCGTGTCAGGTTGCGTGTCTGGGTGTGTTGCTGTCTGGCACGCTCCCCTTACGCGTACCCTGAGTGTGCGCACCGCTGTCGGGCACTTGTGCGCAGAGCTGAGAGTTGGGGCTACCCTGTTGTAGCTTTTAAGGAGTTTACAGTCTAGTAGGAGACAGACTGACTACCCAGGGTACTTGGGGACTGGGAGGGTCATTTAAGTCCACTGTTGGCCGGGAAAGAGTGTATCTTGAGGGGCAGCTTGAATGAGTGGGTTAACCGCGTGGAAGGAAGGCAGTGAAAGTCTGAAGGGTGTTCCGCGCGGAACGTAAAGAATGGGTGAAACTACTCGTGAAGACGAGAGCTGAATGTATGGGAGATGTGAGGAAAAAAGACTGGAAAGAAAAGTCAGCCGGGCCACAAGGCAGGGAGAGGGTCCGAGTGCCTAGCTGAGTTGGATTCCTTTCTGCAGGAGGGAGCCATTAAAATCTTTTGGGGAAGAAAGCAAAGGGCTGAGAGCTATATTGCATTCTTACATCTGGATAGAGGATTGATTGAAAGGACAGTGTTTGGAAAGGACAGCGTTTGGACTTGTTTCCCTTTCATCAGTTTTCCACTAGTCAAATCTCATCATAATTTACCTTATCTAAAATCCTCCAGTGACTTCCTATGGGTTCTTTAGGATAAGTGTTCAAATTACTGTAGCTTACAAAGCCATGATCTGGCCTCCGCCTTTCTTTTTATCCTCTTTTTAGCCTCTCGCCTCAAATCTGTTAGTCAAACTGCTCAAACCACTTGTAAATGCCTTTTCTGCCACCGGAAACATTTTTCCCCCCACTTCTAGCTTTATTCATACATTAGCTCTCAGCTTAAACATTTTGGGGGCAATTAGAGGAATGCAGTGGTCTTTTCTTACTTTGTAGAGTAAGGTATTTCCGTGACACTGAATTTACTTTCTGTGTTACCCATTTATTGTAATTACTCATTTAATTGTGGTCTTCTGATAAACCCTAAGCTCTGTGAGGGTGCAGCCTATTGTACTTTCTTTCTGTATCTCGTGCCTGGCGCTTGGCAGGTGCTTTCAAAATATTTGTTGAAATAACGTATAATGAAATGAGCAAATGGGTGAAAGGAAGTTCAATTAGGAGAAATGAGAGCTTGGACAAAAACAGTGGTGGTAGGAATGAAGTGGGGATAGGGGAGAGACATATTTCAGGGAAAGAATGAATAGATCTGGTATCTGATTGGAACAGAAGATGGTGCTAAGGTTTTAAACCGGAGCAACCAGAAGGATGGTAATTCTGTAAGTTCGGAGCACGCCAGTTGTGTATCAAGAACTAGAGGTTGGCGGGGAGGGAGGAGCATGGATGATAAGCTGTATTTTGACTACACTGTATGTGAGATATTTGGAAGATGTGCCCAGAAGGCAGTTGGAAATGAGGTGTGTTGAGGAAAGGTGTGGATCCTTGATTTGTGCTGGTTTGCCCAGTGCATTTGTAGTTTTGCTTAAGGGTGTGGGTGAGATCACTGAGGGAAGAGGTGAACTGCCTATTGGTGATCTAGCAAACAAGCTCCATAAGAATTGGCACCGTATTAGACCTGTTTACTATTTTATCGCCAGTGTCATCCAAAAAGAATTATTGCATGAAGAGAGAGGGTGTCCAATGGAAAGACAAGAGGATTGGGATACAACTGGGTGAGGCTTCTTGGTTATGTGGTATCTGAGGAGGCGCCAACAGAGCCTGCAAAGAAAAGGATAGATGAATAGGAGAGAAACCAGGAGGAAGAGTGCCATGGAAGTCAAGGGAGGGGAGGGCTTCCAGGAGTGGGAGTCTGTAGAGTTGGAAATGGCTTAAAAGGTAAGACGACGCCAATAATTTTATCTGTTAGGAAGCTATTGATATTTTAGATTTTCTCCGAACAGGCCTAGATTTTCTGGGCTGTGCTGATTTTGTACTCCTTAGTACTACAAACCGTCAGAATATCTCTACAGTCTGACATTTCAACATGTAAACTATAGCTCCCGTATGAAATCTGATTTCTCTGAGTAGCACAAGAATCTCTCTGTCAGACCATAGAGTCTGATCCTGGGTTAAGAAAAATATGGTCATCCTTATTGGTGATGTTCAGGAGAACACTTTTCAGTGCAAAGGTGGTTCCCATGTTACAAAAGTTTGATGTGTAACTGTGGGTTAGTACATAAAAGTGCCAAAATATGCCTCTCCTTCATTCCTTCATGAAATTTGTTGGTGGAAGGAAGTCCATAGGTGGGATAGCAGCTTAGTTCTACCTTTGTGATCTTAGCACACACAGGCTGAACTTAGAGTTGGCCAGTACATTAGTCTCCTGTGCTGTGTAACAAATTACCACACACTTAGTGACTTAAAACAATACTCATTTATTATCTCACAATTCCTGTGGACAGGGTACTGTGCTTAGGGTCTCACAAAGTTGTGATTAAGGTGTTGGTGGTCTGCATTCTCATCTGGAACCCAGCTTGGGAAAAATCTTCCTTGAGGCTCACCTCACTTAGGTTGCTGGCAGAATTCATTTCCTTGTGTCTGTATGCCTTGTATGCCTTGGGAGGGGGGGCGTGGTGGTCTTCATACTGACTTTCTGCTGGGGGCTTCCCACAGTTGTCTGAATTCCCTGCCATACGGCCCCTCCCCCCTTTTTAAGTAGGCTCCACGCCCAGTGTATGCTCTGTGTGGAGCCCAATGTGGGACTCGAACTCATGACCTTGAGGTCAACACCTGAGCTGGGATCAAGAGTCAGACGCTCAACCAACTGAGCCATCCAGGCACCCTCCCTGCCCCCACCCCCTGCCCCCACCATATGGCCCTTTTTACAGACAGTCACAGTGACAGTTGGCTTCTTCAAGGCCAGCAGGAGGACTCTCTTGCTCTACTCTCCTTATATAACATAAGGCTTATATATAAGACTTATAAGACTATATATAAGACATATATAACATAAGTGATCAAAGGAAGGATATCTCACATTTGTCTTGTTTTACTGGATAAAACAAATCACGGGGGAAAAAAACCTAAATAAGCCATGGATTCTGCCCAAACTCAAGGGTCAGGGATTATACAATGGTCATGATTCATTGTGAGTTGTCTTAGAGTAACCACAGCCAGCTTTGCTAGGCTAAATTGAAGTGAAAAAAAAAAAAAAGATAACAGTTGTATACTCAGTTCATTCAGACTTTCATAACAAAATACCAGACTAGATAGCTTATAAATGAGAGGTTTTTTTCTCATAGTTCTGGAGGCTGGGAAGTTCAGTATCAAGGCTCTAGCATGGTCGTGTTCTGGTAAGGCTCCTCTTCCTGGTTCATAGCCAGCATACCTTGCTGTGTCCTCACATGATGAAAGGGGTTAGAGATCTCTCTGGAGCCTCTTTTATGACGGCACTAGCCCCATTCATGAGGGCTCTGCCTCCCAAAGACCCCACTTTCCAAAGGCTCCATCCATCTCCTAATTCCATCACTTTTGGGGGTTAGAATTTAACATGAATTTTGGGGGGACACATTCAGACCATAGCATATCCCTTCATTTCACCACTGTTTTCGGCAGTGAATATGGAGGTGTTTTGGACATAACATTTTCTTATGCTAAAATTGATAATTGTTGATATTTCCACAAATAATACTCAGGCATTTGATCAATTGTTTATATTAATTTCCTTGTCTCTTTGCTTAAGAAAAGTTCTGTTTGAATACATTATATTTATCATCAGAAGTCACCATTAGTGTACAAATACCTATGATTTAAAAAGTACTGCTTTTCCTAAATTTCAAATATTGTGATGTTGAGGGCCTCACGAATGAAAGAAACAAGACCTGGGCCTTTTGACTGCTCGTAAGTTTTTGCATACTTCAGATTCATGGTAGGTTTTTCACAATTGAGGCTTGTAGAATTTCAGCCCCTGAATAAGTATAGGATTTTAAATAACGTAACATGAAATGAATTATCTTAGGAGTAACCTGGGTTCATTGTAGAGAATTTGGAAAATATAGAACCAATCAGAGATAACACAGTGTTGGTCATTTTCTAGGTGGTGCATTACATTTAGACCTGGTGTTGAATGTCACCTCCAAGCTGCCCATTATGTGACTTTGAGCAATATAATATACGTAATCTCTCTAAGCCCCATTTTTCTCATTTGAGAAATGGTTAATAGCTACCAGTGACATCATCGTCATTAATCCTAAATAGAACTTAGTATGTGCGAGGCAGGGGATCTAAGCACCTTATGTATTTAATTAGTTCCATTTTACAATTACTGGCAAAGCTGGGATGTGAACCCAGACAGTCTGGTTTCAGAGTGTACTCTTTTTTTTTTTTTTATTTTTTATTAAAAAAAAATTTTTTTTTTCAACGTTTATTTATTTTTGGGACAGAGAGAGACAGAGCATGAACGGGGGAGGGGCAGAGAGAGAGGGAGACACAGAATCGGAAACAGGCTCCAGGCTCCGAGCCATCAGCCCAGAGCCTGACGCGGGGCTCGAACTCCCGGACCGCGAGATCGTGACCTGGCTGAAGTTGGACGCTTAACCGACTGCGCCACCCAGGCGCCCCCAGAGTGTACTCTTAACCACTGTGCTGTATTGTCTCTCAAGAAAGTATGTGCCTCATAGCATTGTGGGATTAAATGTGAAGTGCTTAGCATAAATAAGTGCTTATAAGATATATTAATCAACAATTAATTAATAATGTATGTATATCCCATTATACCGTATATATGCAGTGGAATATTACTTGGTGATGAAAAAGACTGAAATCTTTTCATTTGCAACAATGTGGATGCAACTAGTGTATGATAATAAGCGAAATAAGTCAATCAGAGAAAGACGAATATCATATGATTTCACTCTTATGTGGAATTTAAGAAACACAACAGATGAACATAGGGGAAGGGAAGGAAAAATAAGTGAAAAACAGAGAGGAAGGCAAACCATAAGAGACTCTTAAATACAGAGAACAAACGGAGGGTTGATGGAGGGGAGGTGGGTGGGGGATGGGTTAATTGGGTGATGGGCATTAAGGAGGGCACTTGTGGGATAAGCACTGGGTGTTATACGTATGTTATGAATCACTCGGTTCTACTGAAACGAGTACTACACTATATGCTAACTAACTTGAATAAAGTAAAAAAATCTTACAACTAAATCACTAATTCAATACATTATGATACACATGCTTAGCTTTTTTAAATGTTGAAAAAAATTAGTGAAACAATTCCACTTTTAAAAAATATCAAGTATGGGGCGCCTGGGTGGCTCAGTCAGTTAAGTGTCCGACTTTGGCTCAGGTCATGATCTCACGGTTCGTGGGGTCGAGCCCCGTGTCAGGCTCTGTGCTGACAGCTCAGAGCCTGGAGCCTGTTTCGGATTCTGTGTCTCCCTCTCTCTCTGCCCCTCCCCCACTTGCACTCTGTCTCTCTCTGTCTCAAAAATAAATAAATAAAAATAAATAAATAATTAAAATTGGAGTATTTGTGTTTCTATTGTTGAGTTGTAAGGTTTTCTTTTTTTTAAAATATATTTTGGATCCAAGTTCCTTATCAGATATGAATTGCAAATATTTTCTCCCATTCTGTTGGCTGTCATTCCATTTTCTTTCTTTTTTTAATGTTTATTTTTTTGAGAGAGAGAGAGAGCATGAGCAGGAGAGAGGCAGAGAAGGGGAGAGAGAGAATCTGAAGCAGGCTCCATGCTATCAGTGTAAAGCCTCTTGTGGACTTCAACCCACAAACGGTGAGATCATGACCTGAGCTGAAGTCAGATGCTCAACTGACTGAGCCACCCAGGCGCCCCCTCATTTCAGTTTCTTCATGGTGTCTTTTGAAGCACAAAAGTTTTAGATTTTGATGGAGTCCACTTTATTTTTTCTTTGGTTTCTTTAGTGTTCTATATTTAGTGTTATATCTAAGAAACCATTGCTTAACCCAAGTTTCATGAAGATTTATGCTTATGTTTTCCGTTGGGAGTTTTGTACTTTTAGCTCTTACACTGAAGTTGGTAGTTTAAGTTAAGTTGTATATATGTTGTGAGGTAGAGGTCTTAATTCATTCTTTTTTGTATGGATTTCCAGTTGTTCCAGCACCATTTGTTGAAAAGACTGTTCTTTCCCTATTGAATTATTTCTCGGCACCTCTGTTGAAAATATACTGATTGTAAATGTAAAGGTTTGTTCTGGACTTTTAGTTCTATTCCACATTTTTAAAATGGTATTTATGGTTCTGCCACTTACTGTGTGACCTTCACAGTTGGTTAACTATTTGTCCCTTAGCTGTAAAATGAGTGACAAATAGTAAGTACTTAATGGAATTATTGTTAGAATTAAGGGAAGTACTGTGTAGGAAGAGCTTACATGGAACACTACCTTGTAGACAACATGCACATAATATGTGTTAGCTAATGCCATCATTATCACAATCTTCACTGTCCTCATCATTATCAGCATGATCACTATAACACAAGTTAAAGATTTTTCTCTAACTTGTAAAAGCCAGGCTTCTCTCTTTTGCTGGATTGTAAAACCTGAAAATAGATAACATGTTCGAGGAATGAATATGATGGATTAAGACAGAATGCAAAGAGGACTAAGGAGAAGCCTATGAAAATACTTGCATTTAGGTGTTTTTATTACAGTCGACTAAATAATTTTTTTAAAATGTACATAAGGAAAATACTACAGTCTTTTGTTTTAAGATAATTTGGAATAAGGGGGTCAGCTGGAAAGTTCTGTAATTATTTATCTGTGTAATGGAGTTCATGTATATGTGTTGCTTATTTAAAGTCATATATACATATTGTAAAATCCTAGTATACAGAGACTATGAGTCTTTTTCGAATTTTGTGTAATGTTTAGTCCAGTATCCTTAGCATTGCTATTTCAAGTGCCAAGCAAATGTTGGCAATTTCCAAATGCTAGTTTAGTATCAATAGTCATCCCCATTTAGTATTATGTGGAAATATACTAGAAATGATATAACTCACTTGTTTTCTAAACTTTAGCCACCTTTATTTTAAGTAAACACATACATATCTGGTAGTGGTTTTGAATGCTAGAATGCTTAATAAAGAACTCCAACTCTGCCTTTTTCCTTTTGCTTTTAGATTGTTAGCATGTTGACTGACATTTTCTCTATTAATTGTGAAGTTTAACTGATGACAAAGCTTGTGACTACTGCCATAGCTCTGTTTTAGGTCATAATTTTTATTCCTGGAGTTCTTTGTTAAGCAAATATACATAAGTTATTAACTTGAAACCTGTTTTATTATAGTTATCAGTACAGTTTTCTAATTGTGAAGTAAAAGAACCAAGTATTTTTGGTAGGCTGTTCCCTTCATAATGCTTAAATTTTTCTACTGACACTTTATTTTCTTAGATGTCTTTGTTCCCATCTGGTGATACCTAATTACCACTTTTTATTATATTTTAAAAATGTGGTATGATTATTACTTCTAGATGTCACTTGTCAGAGTGAACCGTTATGGTACCCGAGGAGGAGGAAGGAAAGCGCTGAAAGTAAAGAAGAAGAAAACGTCAGTGAAGCAAGAATGGGATGTAAGTCTAGGCGGGATAATAAACCTGTAAGATTGCTCTGGAGGAATAGATGTGATGACATGAACCTAGTCTACACAAGACAGTGCTTTAAATGTAATAGGGCTCAATAGATTTCTGGGAGTGTTTAAGAGCAGAATCCTTTGGGGATTTTTTTAAGAATACACATGCGAGGCCCGTAACCTCTACCTCCTTTGAAGAGAGAATCTTAAGAGGGTGGGGAGTGTTTTTAAAAATCTCCCCTCCCGAACTTTGAAAACTCACTGCTTAAGGCAACTGTAGCTAACCTGTGTTGCTGAAGTCTGAATTTTTTTGGTACTTTTTTTAGATTTGCCCATGGCAACCAGTGACATCATAATCATATGAGTGGCATTTTTGGCTGATAAAATGGGTGATTCTTACTCTCTCTCCTGAATTGTTTGTTTTTCACCTCCCGAGGCTGGTCAGTTTCAATAGAAAGGTTCTGTTAAGATGTAAGACAAGTCTCAAGTACTTGGGACATGTGATCCCTGGCTTCCACTCCGATACTGTTTGGTATTATCAAAGGGATCTTTATCTTGTGTAGCTTGGTACTTTAGTTTGGACCATAACACTTTAGGTTCCTTTTCTTTCTAGTTGTGGAGAGCAACTAGTCAGGGACTACTTTGGATCTCTGGGATTCTTTTGGACTTGGAAACTTCTGGGCAAACTGACAGCCTTTTTGAAGTGGGTCAGGGGGACTTATCTGCGTTTATATTACTTTGTTGTCATTTGATTTGCTATAAGATATTATAAGGGTGTGACTCTAAGGTAATAAATGAAACTTATTAAAAGAAAAAAATGCATATGATAACTTAAGTTGTCTACTTCAAAGTGGTTACTTTGGGAAGTTTAATATTCTGATATGCTGCCACTATTGCTCAAAACATAATCGAAACCCACCATTTGAAATTACATTCAGAATTTTCCTCATTTGCTTTTTTATTATCTCTAGTGCTGGAAAAATCTGTTTTTTGTAGACTGAACTTGAAAGTAGTTTTAAGTCATTTGGAGTAAATGGTGAATGAGGGAGGAGAAATCAAACTGAATAATACTGTTTTGCTAAAAATAATGAGATTTTTTTGAAATGGCTTATAATTTATATATAAAGGCAATTTCAAAAGAAAATAGTTTTAAGCAATAGTAGTATTAATGAAATTATATTTTCTCCCATGAGAACTAAATCCAAGCATATAACTTATATGCTTGAATTTTATTATGATTATTAAGAATAATTCTCAAGATCTTATAGTTATATCTTGTACTTTTTTTTTAAACTCTTTTTTTAAAGTTTATTTTTATTTTGAGAGAGAGCGAGCATGCAGCATGAGCGGGGGAGGGGCAGAGAGAGAGAAGGAGAGAGAGAACCACAAGTAGGCTCCTTGCTGTCAGCACAGAGCCTGACTCTGGGCTTGAACCCATGAACTTTGACATCGCGACCTGAGCCGAAACCAGGGGTCAGACACTCAACTGACTCAGGTATCCAGGTGCCCCTATCTTGTACTTTTATAAATTAATATGAAAGGAATGGCAATTTTAGTATAGAGAACCCTTGAGTTAAGTATGAACTGTGACCAAAAAGTTAGGTCTTTGAATATATCCATCTTCTAATATAAGCCATTTCACCAGACCCAGTTCTATTTCTGTTAGAAGTAGAACTCTAACTTGTTTTATTTCCTGCCTTACCAAATCTGTATGACAAAATGGCTGAAGTCATTTTGGAAAGGGCCAAATCGTAGGGCAGCTACTTAAAGTTGTGTAGGCTGTGCATTGCTTAGTTCCAAGGGGGTACTTTTACATGGACTAGAGTAATAGTGGGAGTTCCTGGAGTTGTGCAGTGTGGTAGACCTGCCATGTAGGTTTAGTACCTTTTCACATAAGTGACTATTTTCATATTTTATGAAATTATACAGTGCACTCGGACTTTATCCTTTATTATGTGATTCTATGCTTAAGTTGTTTGCATGGATACAGATTTAACCTCTCTGTAGTGATCACAGTTTATCTTTCAGGAATCTTGAGAGGTGCCTCATTCTGGAGTGCATTTTGAAAACTACAATTTTAGTTAAACTTACTCATTTTGAATTACATACTACCCTGTTTTATTTATTGTTTTAATGGAATGTATGACTGCTTGGTAAATACACTGCTTATTTTCTGTAAGACATCTAAAAATAGCCTGTTATTTTTTAACCAAGACAACTAACAATAATCCATATTAATATTTAAATTGAGGATACTGGTTCCTGGACAGAAATTCGTTTTGGTCCCAGGAGTTTGAATCCATTTTCAGCCATTAAAATCCAGTACATACTCATACCTAACCACACGTAAATGAACAATGTAAGGTCATAGGTGTGATATAACTTTCTGGAGGATGTGAAAAAATGTGATAAGAAGTTTGAGTAATAAAACTAACATTTTAATTTAAATAAACGCATTTGTTTTATATATTATGTGAGAATATAAATAATTTTATTTATTTGTTTATTTACTTTGAGAGTGTGTGAGCAGGGGAGAGGGGCAGAGAGAGAAAGAGAGAATCTTAAGCAGGCTCCTTGCTCAGCATGGATCCTGATGTGGGGCTACGTAGGGCTCAATTCCATGACCCTGGGATCATGACCTGAGCCGAAACCAAGAATCAGAAGCTCTACCAACTGAGCCACCCAGGTACCCCTATTTCAGTTTAAAATAGCAGTTTTATCTTGCTAAAATGAGATGATCAGACAAATCCCTAAACTCTTTAAAGAAAGGTTTCTTGGAGGTTAGCTTGCTTATTTAGTTAAGTACATAATCTTTTAACTGAGGCCCATCTGGCATATAGGAGAAAAAAAGGTACAGAAGGCTTAAACTAAGAAAAGGAGATTTTTGAGGGGCACCTGCCTGGCTCATGCAGTAGAGCATTCAACTCTTGATCTCAGGGTTGTGAATTTGAACCCCACACTGAGCATAAGGATTACTTAAAAAAAAAGTTAAAAAATAAAAAAGAAGGTTTTTTTTAAAAAAAGGAAAATGAATTTATCAAAAATAAAATAAAACTGATTTTAAATGCTTTTTAACCTAGTCTAAAGACAAGTTTTCCTGTAAGAAAATAACCCAAAGAAAGTTAATAAACATTGAAGTCCTATTTTTTAAAAAATCCAATATATACTAATATTTTGCAAGAAATCTTTTTTTTTGTTGTTTTTAAAGAAAGGTCCTCTTTTTTTGCAGAATACTGTGAATGATCTTACAGTTCATCGGGCAACTCCTGAGGATCTGGTAAGTTTAATATCAAAAGTTAAGATTTATTCAATGTTTCATTTAGTATTTGGTTTCTGACATTCAGAATAGAAACCAGAGACACTTCCTGGAAGTTGTTTAGTTTTATTTAATCTTATGTCTGTATAAAATTGAAAAGCATATCTTCAGTATTTCCTGAATTTACCTAGGAATGTCACTTAGTGTGTATTAAAATTTTATTAGATAGGTTTGGTTTACAGCTCAAATCTCTGTGGTCAGTATTGTCCTGTACACATCATAGATATCTCTAGCTTTATTATTACTTCCCTATACAAACGTACTGGTGTAGTCAATGTACTAATTTATTCCTTGAATATGCCATGTATATTTCCACATTTGAGCCTCAATTCATGCCGTTTTCTTTACTTGGAACAGTTTGTCTGCCTTTTTGTGTGCATGTCCAAATATTACTTTGCTTTCTTATCCTAGTTCAAGGCTTACTTTTAGAAAGGTTTCTACTGTAGATTTTTAAAAAAGCAGCTTTATTACAATACAATTCACATACCATAAAATCCACCATTTTAAAGTGCACAACCCATTGGTTTTCAGTATATTCATAGAGTTATATACCTATCATCATTTTCTAATTTTAGAAGATTTTTGTCACTCCCTAAAAGAAACCCTGTACCCATTAACAGTCACTCTGTATACTCCCCCTCCTTCTAATCCCTGTCAACACCTAATCTACTTTATGTCTCTATGGATTTGCCTATTCTGGACATTTCATATAAATGGAATATAGTGTGTGTCCTTTTGTGTCTAGCATAACGTTTTCAAGGCTCATCCATGTTGTAGAATGTATCAGTTCTTCATTCCTTATATTGCTGAATACTATTACATCATATGGATATGCCATATTTTATTTATCCATTTGTCCATTGTTGGATATTTGGGTTATTTTCACTTTTTGACTATTATGAATAATGCTGCTATGAACATTCATGTACAAGTTTTGGGTGAACATATGTTCTTAGTACTCTTGTATACCTGGGAGTAGAATTGCTGGGTCATATGGTGCCTCTATAGTTAGCTTTCTGAAGAGCTGCCAAACAGTTTTTCACAGTGGCTGCACTATTTACATTCTTTTTTTTTTAAATTTTTTAAAATGTTTATTTAATTTTGAGGCAATGCGAGAGACAGAGTGCAAGCAATGGAGGGGCAGACAGAGGGAGACACACAATCTGAAGCGGGCTCCAGGCTCTGAGCTGTCAGCCTAGAGTCCAACGCGGGGCTCGAACTCACCAACTGTGAGATCATGACCTGAGCCGAAGTCGGAAGCTTAACCGACTGAGCCACTCAGGTGCCCCTGCACTATTTACATTCTTATCATGCATGAGGGTTCCACTTTTTCCATATCCCTTGCCAACACTTGTTATTACTGTATTTTTGGTTTTAGTTTTCCTGGTGGGTGTAAAGTGGAATCTCATTGTGGTTTAGATTTGCCCTAATGACTCATGATGTTAAGCATCCTTTTGTGTGCATATTGGCTCTTTGTATTATTTTCTTCTTTGGGGAAATGTCTATTGAGATTCCTTAGCCAGTTAAAAATTGGATTACTTGTGTTTTTATTTTTGAGTTGTAAGAGTTCTTTACACATTTTGGATCCAAGTTCCTTATAAGATGTATGATTTGCAAATACTTTCTCCCATTCTGTTGGTTTTCTTTTCATTTTCTTGATGGGTATTTTTGAAGCACAAAAGTTTTTAATTAATTAATTAAAAATTTTTTTAAATTTTAAATTTTTTAATGTTTATTTATTTTTGAGACAGAGAGAGACAGAGCATGAGCAGGGGAGGGGCAGAGGGAGAGGGAGACCCAGAATCCGAAGCAGGCTCCAGACACTGAGCTATCAGCACAGAGCCCGACGCGGGGCTCGAACCCACAAACTGTGACATCATGACCTAAGCCGAAGTCGTATGCTTAATTGACTGAGCCACCCAGGCGCCCCTAAAAGTTTTTACTTTTGATGAACTTGTTTATCTATCTTTTGTCACCTGTGCTTTTAGTGTCATATCTAAGAAACCATTATCTAACCCAAGATTCATAAAAATTTACTTCTATGTTTCCTTTTAAAAGTTTTATAATTTTAGTTCTTATATTTAGGTCTTTGATCCATTTTGAGTTAATTTTTGTATATAGTGTGAGATAGGGGTCCAATTTCGTTCTTTTCTAAATGAATACCCTGTTGTCCTATGTGCCATTTCTCCATTGAATTATCTTGACACCCTTGTTGAAAATCAATGGTCTGTAAACATAAGGGTTTGGTTTGGACACTAAGTTTTATTCCACCAATCTATATGTCTATCCTTATGCCTCACCACGTTGTCTTGATTATTATAGCTCTGTTCTAAGTGTGAAGTTTTTTGAAGCTGCCCAACAATTGGTATCTCCTCTGAACTGTGGTTGTATGTACTGTGTATGAGGCATTAAGTATGTGTTGCCTAATGCATATCATTTATTTTTACATGTACAGTTGGCCCTTGAAGAGTGTAGGAGTTACAGGTGCCAGCCCCCTGCACCGTCAAAAATCTGTGTATGAGCTTTGACTCCCCCAAAACCTGACTACTAATAGCCTACTATTGACAGGAAGGCTTACTGATAACATAAACAGATGATTAACATGTATATTGTATGTAATATGTATTATATACTATATTCTTACAATAAATGAAGTTAAAGAAAGGAAAATGTTACTAAGAAATCATAAGGAAGAGAAATTACATTTATAGTACTGTACTGTATTTATTGAAAAAAGTCCGTGTATAAGTGGATCCACGTAGTTCAAACCCTTGTCATTCAAAGGTCAGCTGTATGTTCCCAATCTCCCTGGGCGGATTGTTAATGCTTTTGAGGGATAGGGGCTGCCTCTTATGTGTCTCTGTGGACCTGGGAATCTTAATCCTAGTAGATACTCATTAAATATTTGTTGAGGATAGTAATGATCCCCTACTGACTTAAATTTTTTTATTATGAAAAATTTCAAATTTATGTGAAAATGGAGACAAAAGTATAAAGATCACCCATACAGTGTTCACCCAGATATAATAGTTATTAAAATTTTGCCATATTTGCTTCATTTTTCATACCCTTTTTTTTCACTGTAGCATTTTAAAGCAAATCTCAGAAAACATGTCATTTTGTGCCAACATATTCAGTTTGCATTTAAAAAAATGCAGATATTTTCTTATATAACCACAATGCTGTTATCATACCTAATAAAAGTAACAATAATTTTTTGGTATTGCCTAATTCCCAGTCCATATTCGTATTTCCCCAGTTGTCTCAAAAATGTCATTTTCATTTGTTTTTGGTCTTCAGAATCTTTACA